AAAAAAAAAAAAAAAAAAAAAGGAAATGCAGAGGTGTTGCCTTTGTCTGATTGGGTTGCAGGTTTCCCCTTGCCCTTCGAACAATTTGTGTCTACACAACCCCTCTGGGATTCCAGCTCTTTTAAGTCAGCTTGTCCATGGTAACTAAGGTCTGGAGATTGACAGCACAGAAGCACAGTGATCTTCCATCCAGTCAATGTTCCCAAGAACTGTGAGCTCAGGAAAAGATGGAGAGTGATAATGAAGAAGACTGTTCAACTAGACTTTGCAGACACACGTGGGTATTTCTGCTTACCTCAACGAAGGCTGCCAGTACAGCCAAACCATCCGGTGCATCTTGGGCTATCTCATAGCTCTTGTATTTAGAGTTGTAGTGAACAACGTGAATCTGTAAGAGCAAGGTAGGGTGGGTCAAGGGCAGTTCATAGAAATTTGGATGCTTAAGATTTCCAGGGAAGAAGGAAGAGAAAAGAAGGTGCTCCATCTGAGGCCTCAGACTGTTCCACACAAGCAACTTGGACCTCCATCTCCCTCCATCTGGGCTGCAAATCCCATGAATCAAGAGCAGAAATTTCCCAAAGAATGGAAAGAGCAAGAATGGGATTCTGGAAGATGGCAGTTTCAGGCCATTTCCCGACCACACCTCCCTCCAGGCAGACAAGCTGGCAGAATCTGAAGGGGTCACATAAGGACATAGGGTTCTCCTGGGGTGTCTGGGGGCTTTGCGGGGAGAGTGAGCTCGTGCCCCTTGTCCCAGGCAACCACTGTTAACATGTAGTCATCCTATGGATGGATTCTGGCAAAAGAGGGAACTCAGAAAATCTAACATAGTCCAGGCGCAGGGGCTCATGCCTGTAATCCCAGCACTTTGGGAGGCTGAGGCGGGTAGAACACTTGAGGTCAGGAGTTTGAGACCAGCTTGGCCAACATGGCGAAACCCCGTCTCTACTAAAAATACAAAAATTAGCCGGCCATGGTGGCAGGTGCCTGTAATCCCGGCTTCTCGGGCGGCTGAGGCAGGAGAATCATTCGAACCCAGGGGACAGAGGTTGCAGTGAGCCAAGATCACACCACTTCACTCCAGCCTGGGCAAAAGAGCAAAACTCCGTCTCAAAAAACAAAAAAAGAAAATCAAACACATAAAAATCCAGCTGAAACAAAGGAGGGCTTGCCACACCCTGTGGGCTGTGAAGTCCTGCCCACCTGAGTCCTGTAAGGGCAGGACCTTGCCTGAACCCCTGCCACACAGTGGTGATCCATCAACAGTTGCTGAGTGAATAAAAAATAAACTCAACTTCAGGATAACTTAACTGCTACCTTTGCACAAAGTCTTTTGGCTGTTTTTGTTTGTTTTGTTACTCAGACTGGAGTGCAGCAGCATTATCAGGACTCACTGCAGCCTCAACCTCCTGGCCTCAAGCTATCCTCCCACCTTAGCCTCCTCAGAAGCTGGAACTATAGGTGTG